GACTCTGCTGGTTAACCACAATACTTAGTTTTAAGAATTTAAGTTCTAAGAATTTACTGTAGTGTGATTTAACGTGAGTAGGAAATCAGCAATCAGTTTACATTGAAATCCTTTGACCACAGGTGCGTAATTTGAGAATTATTGGAATTTTGTACTTTGTGCATACTGTTGTAGCAAAGCTTAAAGATTTGTTGGTACTATTGTCGTTTGAAATAATTTTATTTTTGAAGTGTCGGAAATTTCAAGTAAAACTTGATCTTCAAGGGCCAAGAGAAGTTTTGAAAACAAAGGAAGTTTAAAATTTAGCTTCAATATGAGCTGGAAAATTGGACCTGGGAGCTTTAGTTTGGACAACATCAGCACAACATTATGTTGGGAATACTGAATTTTAAATATAAATATAAAAGCCTTTAAATTAAGAGCAGAAGTAGGCCATTCAGTCTCTCAAGCCTGCTCCATCTTTCAATGAGATCATGACTGCTGTGATGGTAAGTGCAAATCCACATTCTCACCTACCCCTGATAATTTTTTGTGCCCTTGATTAACAAGAATCTGCTTACCTCTGCCTTCAAAATATTCAATGACTTCGCCTCTTTCTGAAAAGATAGTGGAAACATTCAAGCACTCTCGATGCTCAGAGGAAAAAAATACTCATCTCATCTTTGTTTTAAATTGGTGGCCTCTGATTTTTAAAGCAAGACCTTGATTTTTAGATTCTCTTGTATGACGAAACGTCCTGTCCTCATCTACAGTGTCAAGATTCTTCAGGATCTTGTGTTTCATTTAAATCATTTGTTAGGCTTCTAAACTGTAGCAGATACAAACTTAACCTGTCCAATTTTAATGCACAGGGCAATCTTCTCATTCTACATATTAGTCTGGTAAAGCCTTGAACTGTCTCCAATGCACTTACATTAGTCTCTAAAGTGACTGATACTGTGTGCAGTATTCCACATGATATCGGGGCAATTTTCACCAGCTAACTGGTCTGTAGCTTCCCACATTCTGTTTCCCTCCTTTCACTATTATTCAATCTATTTAGACCTCCCCAAAATCCAAGGACTTATGGGAAAATTAAAACCAATGGCTCAACTATTTCTCTAGCCCCTTTTAAGATCCTAGATTGAAGTCCATGTGGACAGGGCACTTGCCTTTACATTTTATAATGTCTTTAACATGTCTACCTAACTACAGATAGGTAGTCCATCCCTGGATTTTTTTCTTTCTTGGACAGATGTATTTATTCTGTGTATTGTGACATATCCCCTTAAAGCGACTGTCATTGTAGTTCTGACCTGTCCTTTAACCTAATTTCCCTGTGTAACAAATTCCATAAATTCTTTAACCAAATAATGAAGAATATTTCTTCTAAATCCACTATTTAATTTCTTGTGAATACCACCTTATTTTGATGATCTGCGATTGAGTACTTTCCCTATAAGAGGAAACACTCTGTCCCTTTCCACTTTACCAAAACCTTTGCTAATTTTAATAATCCCTTGAGACTTTTTTCAGGAGAGACCCACTTGTTGATATTTTTCAAGAATGAATACTCCAACATCTTCCAGACTTTTCTAGAATTATCCTGGTAAATCACCTTGCATTCTCGCTGGTACTCCTATTTCCTTTGCATTATGACAACTAGAACTACACGCAGTGCTATAAATGTGGTCTAACCAAGAGTTGATGCAGGATAGTGAAATTTCCCTACTTTTCAATTCCTTTCATCCAGAAATAATTTGGTGGTTTTTTTGTACAGCCATGATCTGACATGATTTTTAATGATTGGATTTGTGCTGAGATTGTCTTGTTCCTCAACACCACTAGACCTGCAGCATTCAAGTATAAGTTACCTCCCTATTCTTACAATCAAAATGTAGCTAACCCCCTCACATTCATGCTTTCAGAAAGTCCTGAAAGGTAATCCAAGGTCTACCCTCTATCAGAGTAGTTAGAACATCTCATTGATTTCAATTGTTTTAAATTAATTTATCTCCACAGTCCCACTCATTGTTAGGATAAATTCACTTCCATGGGTGTCCAAAGTACTATATCTTCAATATTTAAAAAGTGTTCCAAATAACAAGTTTAAAAAAAATCTCACTGCCAGGAACTGGTGGTGGTGGAGGCAGGTACGATATGGATGTTTAAGGGGCTTTTAGATGAATATGCAAGGAATGGAGGCATATGGATCAAGGGCAGACAGAAGGGATTAGTTAAATTTGGTGTCATGTTTGGCACAACATCGTGGGCCGAAGGGCCCGTTCCTGTGCTATACTATTCTATGTTTTATGTTCATTAATTAGGCTGCGCTGACATGACAAAATTGCTCAAATGTCTAATTGTCAAAAAAGCTATTGCAATTTAAGTTTGTTTTCAGAAGAAAGCATTTGCAATGCAAAATTGTGTTATTAGACTGATTTGACAAAATTAGTAAATACCAGAAGAGACCAGAAAAGGTAATATTATAACTTGAGGCGGAAGAAAAATTGTTTGAGTGGCTGTTCAGTTTTATTTTTGACCCACTTGAATTGACCATTGCACATGAAAACAATGAACATGCCAGAAAGTGTTCAAATTTGAGGTGAAGTGGAAATCGCATTAAAGACCAGTGATCATAATTGTATCAGTTTTAAAATTAGTGATAGAAAATGGTAGACTGGGTCTACAAGTTAAACTTCTAAATTGGAGGAAGGCCAATTTTGACAGTATTAGGCAAGAATTTTCAAAAGTTGATTGGGAGAGGCTATTTGCAGGTAAAGGAACAGCTGGAGTCCAGGAGCAGCATGTTCCTGTTAGGGTGAAGGGCAAGGCTGGTAGGTGTAGAGAATGCTGGATCACTAGAGAAATTTGAGGTTTTGGTCAAGAAAAAGAAGAAAGCGTATGTCAGGTATAGATGGCAGGGTTCAAGAGAATCCCTAGAAGGGTACAAAGGCAGTAGGAGTATACTTGAGGGAAGTCAGGAGAGCAAAAAGGAGACATGAGATAACTGTGGCAAATTGGGTTAAGGAGAATCCAAAGAGATTCTACAAATGCATTAACGACAAAAAGGTAACTAGGGAGAGAATAGGACCCCTGAAAGTTCAGCATGGCTGCTTATGTGTGGAACCGCAGGAGATGGGGGAGATACTAAATGCGTATTTTGCATCAGTGTTTACTGTGGAGAAGGATGTGGAATTTGGAGAACTTGGAGTAATAAATAGTGACATCTTGAAAAATGTCCACATTAGGGGAGGAGGTGCTAGATATTTTAAAACGCATAAGGCTGGATAAATCCTCAGGATCTATTCCTGTATACCCTAGAACTCTGTGGGAAGCTAGGGAAGTGATTGCTGGACCCCTTGCTGAAATATTTGTATCATTGATAGCCACAGGTGAAGTGCCAGAAGACTGGAGTTAACATGCTGCCACTATTTAAGCCAGATGGTAAGCAGAAGTCAGGGAACTACAGACCTGTGAGCCTGACATCAGTGGTGGACAAGTTGTTGGATGGGATCCTGAGAGACAGGGTTTACATGTCCTTGGAAAGGCAAGGACTGATTAGGTATAGTCAACATGGCTTTGTGCATGGGAAATTGTGTCTCACTAACTCGATTTAAGTTTTTTGAAGAAGTAATGAAGAGGATTGATGAAGGCAGAGTGGTGGCCGTGGTCTATGGACTTCAGTAAGAAGTAGACTGGCCAGCAAGGTTATAGATCACGTGGACTACAGGGAGAACTAGCCATTTGGATAAGAATTGACTTGAAAGTAGAAGACAGAGGGCAGTGGTGGTGGATGGTTGATTTTTCAGACTGGAGGCCTGTGACTAGCAGTGTGCTGCAAGGATCGGTGCTGAGCCCGCTGCTTTTTATCACGTTATATAAATGATTTGGATGTGAATATAGGCGACATGGTTAGTAATTTTGCAGACAACACCAAAATTGGTGGTGTAGTGGATAGTGTAAAAGGTTACCCCAGTACAAAGGGATCTTGATCAGATGGGCCAATGGGCCAAGGAGTGGCAGATGGAGTTTAATTTAGATATGTGAGATGTTGCATTTTAGAAAGGCAAATCGAGGCAGGTTTTATACACTTGGAGATAGTAGGAACTGCCGATGCTGGAGTCTGAGACAACAAGGTGTAGAGCTGGATGAACACAGCAGGCCAGGCAGCATCAGAGGAGCAGGAAAGCTGACGTTTCGGGTCTGGACCCTTCCTCAGAAGTGGTTTTATACGCTTAATGGTAAGGTCCTGGGAAATGTTGCTGAGCAAAGAGACCTTGTAATGCAGATTCATAGTTCCTTGAAAGTGGAGTTGCAGGTCGACAGGATAGTGAAGAAGGCGTTTGGTATGCTTGCCTTTATTATTCAGTGCCTTGAGTATAGGAGTTGGGAGGTCATGTTGCGGCTGTACAGGATGTTGGTTAGGCCACTTTTGGAATACTGTGTTCAGTTTGCAGGAAGGATGTTAAACTTGAAAGGGCTCAGAAAAGATCTGCAAGGATGTTGCAAGGGTTGGAGGGTTGAGCTATAAGGATAGACTGAAAAGGCTGGGGCTATGTTCCCTGGAGTGTCAGAGGCTGAGAGGTGACGTTATAGAAGTTTGTAAAATCATGAGGGTCATGGATGGGGTCAATAACCAAGGTCTTTTCCCCAGGGTAGCGGAGTCTGCAACTAGAGGGTATGGGTTTAAGGTGAGAGGGGAAAGATTTAAAAGGGACCTAAGGGGCAATTTTTTCACGGAGAGTGTGATGCATGTATGGAATGAGCTGCTGGAGGAAGTTGTGGAGGCTGGTACAACTACATTTAAAAGGCATCTGGATGGGTATATATGAATAGGAAAGGTTCAGCGGGATATGGGCCAAATGCTGGCAATGTGACTTGATTAATTCAGGATATTTGGTCGGCATGGACGAGTTAGTCTAAAGGGTCTATTTCTATGCTGTACAGCTCTATGACTCTAAATACCATTTGGGGTGATATTCAAAATGTTTAACTAATATGAATGCTTTATATTGCAGATTTTTCTGCCCTCCTCCTTGTGTATATCTAATGGGCAGTGGATGGAAGAAAAAGAAAGATCAGATGGAGCGAGATGGATGCAACGAACAAGAATCACAACCATGTGCATTTATTGGGATTGGAAATAGTGACCAAGAAATGCAGCAACTTAACTTGGAAGGAAAGGTAGGATCCTATTAAACAACAATCATGAGTTTGTGTTGCAACTGCAAAGATAAACAGCAAGCATGTATTTAAAGTACATATTATATAGTGTTGTTTGTTTGACGTAGTCTACTGGCACCAGTTGCAAATATGGTTCAAACTAACTAGTTTATTGGTCGTGCTTTGCATTAAGGGATATTTTGGTGAGATTAGAACAGTGTTCATTCAGCACAGTATGGTCTGTGTGAATTCTGCTGTGCACCATATGAAATATTGAAAATGTGGTTCACTATTTTGACCACTTTTAAGATAAGCAGGTTGGAAACTTGTCATAGCATTCGTTGTTTTCTGTCCATATTTTTACTTGAGGGTTTTATTTTCTTGGACATTTGACTGCAGTACTTTATCTCAGAAGCTTGTAGAAGTGAAAAATGAAGTGCATGTTGAGGTGCACAACTCCAGGATTTGAGAGGTTGAGAACTTGAATTAATAGATCAGCGGCTTTTGAAAATGAGTTTTGCGTGTGGCTGTCTTAGTAGATCAGCTAATAAAACAGGTACAAGAAGGTTATTAAATAGTTTAGTGAATTATGGAGGGTCTTGTGGTGCAGTTGTAGTATCCCTACTTCAAGGCTTAGAAGGTCATGGTTCAAGTCTCACCTTGGGATGTGATAGCCATCGAGGTCTGTCAGTCAGAACATAGACTGATATAGTTTTCAGCATTATCTGAAGGAGACTTGGTTACAAAAAGTACGCATTTGGAGTACAGTTTCACAGGGCCTCAGTTAGACCAAGTCCAGAGTACCATGTTTCATTTTGCACATCACAATAGAAAAGAAACTTTTGATAGTGAATGGGGTGTAGTTCAAATCCTTCAGTATCTTATTGGGATTTAGGCATAACTTATGAGGGTAGTTTGTGTAAACTTATATTTGATTCCTTGAGTATAGAAGCTTGAGAGAGATTTGATTGAGGTTTTAAATGCTAAAGAATTCAATAAGAGGGAAACAGTCCTCTGGTGGGGGAATCAAGAATGAGAAAGTGTGTAATACTACATTTAGAACACTGCCATTTAACAGAAGCTAGGAAGTGCTTTTTCCATCGATAATATTGGAATTCTGTAAATTGCTCTCCCAATATGCTGTAGGTACTGGGACAAAGTCATAAAGATGTACAGCATGGAAACTGGCGCTTTGGTCAAACGCGTCCATGCCGAACAGAGATGCTAGACAAATCCAGTCCCTTTTGCCAGCATTTGGCCCGTATCCCACTTAAACCCTTCCTATTCATGTCTCCATCCGGATGCCTTTTAAATGTAATTGTATCTGCCTCCACCACTTCCTTTGGCAGGTCATTCGTTTGGAACTTTATTGTTGTTGGGACATTGCATTGGGCTACAGATCAGCCATGATCAAATTTAATGCTGGAACATGATTGAGGGGTTGGTTGATTGACTATGTTCATTTGAATCTGACTTTAATGATTTTGTTCAACTATCGCATATGAATAAATATTGTTCTATCTAATGTGTTTTCTTTTGGTTGCCCACCCTTTGAGCTGTTTCATAAATGTGGCTTTATTTGGAGATTCATACTGCTCTCCTTACAGAGAATAAATTGTCTCCTATATTGAAAGGCATTTTGGGGCACTTTTACTTCTGAAAATGGTTCAGATTTGTACAGTTCGAGAGGTTTATTTTCTTGTATTGGTATTTCCTGTGTCCTCATTCTTACCAGCACTTTTTTCAGCAGCCAACCTGAGGCTCAGCTATTTGAACTGACTTAATTTGCCTGAAATGGAGGGCTTAAGTTATAAGGAAAGGTGGATAGGCTGAGACTTTTTGCTGGAGCGTAGGAGGTTGAGGGGTGACAGTATGGAGGTTTTTAAAATCATGAGGGACATAGATAAGGTGAACAGCAAGGGTCTTTTCCCTAGATTGGGTGGGGGGGCGGGTGGAGAAAGAGTTCAAAATTAGGGGCATATTTTTAAAGTGAGAAGAGAAAGATTTAAAAAGGACATGAGGCAACTTTTTTTACACAGTGGTTCCTGTGTGGAATGAGCTGCCAGAAGAAGTGGTGGATGCAGGTAGAGTTAGTGTTTAAAAGACATTTGGATAGGTACATGAATAGAAGAGCTTTAGAGAATAATGGCTAAATGCAGACAGTGGGGCTAGTTTGGTCTAGGAACATGGTCCATGTGGACTAGTTAGACCAAAGTATCTGTTTCCATGCTGTGTGACTATGACTCTGTACATAATCTGTGTAATTATTCACCCTTATTAATTGATAACTTTAAAGATTCTATTATGACTTATGAGCTTTTTCTGTACTTGGTTCTACTTACGTGACGTTTTTTGACAGGCTGTCCCCTTACCACAAGTTTGTGATGTCTGGTTTTTGTTGACATCAATTTGTACATTATTCTTTGAAAATAGAAGAAATGTTTAGTTTCTTCTTTGGGTGACTTTGGAATTTCTGCCAGAAGAGTTGTTGAAACTCAATTAATACAACTAGAAATTTAAGCAGGAGTAGGCCCTTCGAGTCTGCTGTGCCATTCGACATGATCATGGCTGATCATCCAAATCAAGACTCTGTTCTTGGTGTCTCCCAAAACCCTACCCTTTAGCCCTGAGAATGATGTCTAACTTCTCCTTGAAAGCATTCAAAAATTTGGCCTTAACCACTTTGTGGCAGAGGATTCCAAATGCTCACTGCTTTGCAGGTGAAAAAATTTCTACTCCTCTCAGTCTTAAATGACAACTCCATATCCTTTAAAATGTGATCCCTGGCTCTAAACTCTCCAGTCATTGTGAATATGCTTCCAGTGATTACTCCATCTAATCCTGTTAGAATTTTATAGGTTTATATGAGAATTCCCCTCATTCTTCCAAATTCCAATGATATTGTCGTTACCAATCCATGTCTTCAGACATCAGTCCTGCCATCCCAGGTATTAGTCTAGTAAACTTTTGTTGCATACCCTCTGGCCAGAACATCCTTCCTTGGATAAGGATACAAAAGTTATTCACAGTATTCAAAGTGTCATTTGACCAAGTTCTGTATAATTGCAGCAAGATAGCTCGGCTCCCGTACTCAAATCCTCTGACTATGAAGGCTAACAAACACAATCACGTTCATCACCTGTTGCATATGCTTGTTTTCAGGAACTGGTACGCAAGATACTCTGGTCTCGTTGCACCTTCCCTATCCCAGTCTTTTGGCATTCAGACAATCTGCCGCTCTGTTTTTGTTACCAAATTAGGTAACTTCACATTTATCCCCATTATACTTCATCTGTTATGCATTTTCCCACTCACTCAACTTGTCCAAATCACAATGAAGCATCTCTGCTGTATCCTCGCAGTTCACCCTCCCACCTGTCTTTGTTGGTCTGCAAACTTGGAGATATTACATTTAGTTCCCTCATCTAAATCATTAATATGTTGTGAATAGCTGGGCTCCAAGCACTGATCCTTGTGGTATTCCAATAGTCACTGTCTGCCATTCAGAAAAAGACCCATATATTCCTACTCTTCCCTGTCTGCCGACCAGTTCTGTATCCATGTAAGTGCACCATCTCCAACCTTAATTTTATATGCTAATCTTTCATGTGAAGCCTTGTTGAAAGCCTTCTGAAAATCCAAGTAAATCTCATCCACTGGCTCCCCCTCCTCAACTCTACAAATTACATTCTGAAAATTTCCAGTAGCTTTGTCGAGCACACTTCCCCTTTTGTAAATCCATGCTGATACTATCCGATGCTGTTGCTGTTTCTCAAGCGCTCTGCTATTAAATCTTTCATAATGGACGAGCATTTTCGCCGCTAATGGTGGCAGGCTAACTGGTGTATAACTCCGTTTCCTTTCTTTTTTACATAGTGGTGTTACATTTGCTACCCTCCAATCCATAGGAACCACAAATTAGATAAATCAAATCGGTAACAATAACGTACAGTAGAATTCCTGGAGTGTGTGGGGAAATGGTTTTTTTGGATCAACAAGTTGAGGAAAGGGCCATCCCAGACTGGGAATTGTGCAATGAGAAAGGAATAATTGGCAATCCAGCTGCGCGAAGCTCCTTGAGGAAGAGTGACCATAATGTGATGGAGTTCTTAATTAAGATGTGGAGTTAGGTAGTTGATTCAGGATCCAATTTCAGAATCTAAATAAAGGAAACTCCCGTGGTATAAGGTGTGAGCTGGCTGTGATAAATTGGGGAATGTTACTTAAAGGGATGATGGTAGATAAACAATGGTAAACAAAGGGCACGTGAATGAACTGCAAAAATTATTCATTCCTGTCTGGCAGGAAAAAAAAACAGAAAAGATGTTCTGACCATGGCTAACGGGGGAAGTTAGGGAAAATATTTGATCAGTGGAAGAGACATACAAATTGGCGAAAAAGAGCACACCTGAAGTTTGGGAGCAATTTAGATTTCAGCAAAGGAGTTTAAAGAGATTGATTTTAAGAGAAGAAATGTAGATTACAATTGCAAGCTTGCAAGGAATAGATGAACTTGAATGCAAACACTTCTATAGGTGTATGGACAAAAAATGATGAGTGAAAACATTCAGCAACAGGAAGTTAAAATGGGAATAAAGGGATGGGAGACCAATTAAATATGTATTTTGATTCTGCCTTCACAAAGGAGGACACAAATATCATCCCAAAAATGTTAGGGAACATGGGATCTATTAAGGGGAAAAATCAAAGAAAATCAGGATTGGTAGGGAAATGGAATCTGAAAAATTGATGGGAGCAGAGGCCCATAAATCCCCCTGGCTTGGCACTACATTCCAGAATACTAAAGGAAGTGACCCTAGAATTGGCAGATGCATTGGTGGTTTTGTTTCAGTAAGTGTGAGAATATCTTAGGGTATTTAATCTACATGGCAGGCGTTTCTTGGTTAATTCAGGAGACACTGAAGAAATTCAACGCAAGGAAGAAAAAATATATTAAGGGGAGTATGAGGCAACTACGACTGACGAGGGAAGTCAGGGACAGTATATCAAAGCAAAAGAAAAAGCATACAATGTGGTGGAGATTAGTTGGAAGCCAGAGGATTGGGAAGCCTTTTAAAAATCAGAAGATACCTTTAAAAGCAATAAAGGGGGAGCAGGAGAAATATGAAAGTAACCCAGCTAGTAATATAAAAGAAGATGGTAGGAGTTTTGTTTTGGTATCTAAAAAGTAAGAGAGAAACAAGGGTGGACATTAGACTGCTGGAAAATGAGGCTGGAGAAGTAATAAAGGGGGAACAAAGAAATGGAGGAGAAACTGAATAGGTACTTTGCATCAGTTTTCACAGTGGAAGACACCAGTATATCAGAACTTTGAGAGTCAGAGGGCAGAGGTAAGTTTAATGACCAAAAAGTCGGATAAATCATCTGAACTGGATGGACTACATTCAGTTCTGAAGTCGATAACTGAGGAAATTGTGGAGATATTGTTGGTGATCATTTAAGGAATCACTGGAGTGAGGGTCCCAGAGGACTGTAAAGTGGCTAATGTAACACTCCTGTTTAAAAGAGGGAGGCAGAAGACTGAAAACTACAGGCTGTTTAGCCTGACCTCGGTTGTTGAGAAGATTTGAATCCACTACGAAGGATGAGATTATGGGGTACTGAAAGTGCATAGGAATACAAGGCTGAGTCAGCAAAGCTTTGCAAGGGGAGGTCATGCCTGACAGCTCTGTTATAATTATTTGAGAAGTTACACAGGCTGGAAACAGACCTTTCAGTCTAACTCGTCCACGCCCACTAGATATCCTAAACTACTCTAGTCCCATTTGGCCCATATCCTCCTTAAACGCTCCCTATTTGTGTACCCATCCAGATGCCTTTTAAATGTCATAACTGTACCACTTCCTCTGTCAGCTCATTCCATACATTCAACACTCTCTGCGTGAAAAAGCTGCCCATCAAGTCCGTTTTAAATCTTACCCTTCTGACCTCAAACCTATGCCCTCTCTAGTTTTGGACTCCCCTACCCTGGGGAGAAATGTCTTGGCTATTCACCCTATCCATGCCCCTCATGATTTTATGAACTTCTGTAAGGTCACCCCTGAGCCTCTGACACTTCAGGGAAGTAAAGCCGCAGCCGAGTCAGCCTCTCCCTATAGCTACAACCCTCCGGTCTTGCCGACATGCTTGTAAATCTTTTTTGAACCCTTTCAAGTTTAACAGCATCTTTCCTATAGCAGGGAGACTAGACTTGAATTCAGTAGTCTACAAGTGACCTCACCAATGTCCTCTACAGCTGTAACATGATGTCCCAACTCTTAAATTCAATGCAGTGGCCAATGAAGACAAGCGTGCCAAATGCTACCTTCACCGACCTGTCTACCTGCAACTCTACTTGTAAGGAGCTATGCACCTGCAACCCTAGGTCTCTTTGTTCAGCAACACTCCCCAGGGGCTTACCATTAACTGTATAAATCCTGCCCTGATTTGCTTTTCCAAAATGCAGCCCCTCTCATTTATCTAAATTAAACTCCGACTGCCATTACTTGGCCCATTGGCCCATCTGATCAAGGTCCTGTTGTACTCTGAGGTAACCTCCTTCACTTTCCACTACAACACCAATTTTGATTTCATCTGCAAACCATACCTCCAATATTCACGTGCAAATCATTTATATAAATAATGAAAAGCAGTGGACCCAGCACCGATCCTTGCAATACACTGCTGGTCACAGGCCTCCAGTCTGAAAAACAACCCTTTGCCACCACCCTCTGTGTCCTACCTTCAAGCCAATTTTTTTTGACTAATACTTAGGAAGCCATAAAACCGCAGATGCATACGCAAATATTTTTTGAGTTATATATATATAAATGACAGTGATAGAAATTTAATGAGAGGCGAAATAAATGTGCTAAACTGCACAGCCATGTTTTAGTAGGGCAAGGAGATCAAAGAAGTCAGTTGAAGTTGGAGTCGATTGTAGCATGTCAAAGTCTTAGCATTTGATTTTAATCACTTTGCTTGCTTGGTTTAATTATCACTGTAATGACTGTGATCAGTTTGACTTCAATTGATATTTTTATTCTTCCCCCAGAAAAGATGCACAATTAATAAATTTTCATTCATCAGTTCGAAAGCACTGAACCTGAACTGACAAGCTTATTGTGAAAATGTTCCGTTCTGTTTTCATTCTAAAGTTTAACGTTGCAATTGATGTCCAGAAAACCTAAAACTAGTTCCATGAAATTCCATCTTGTCTCAGTCACATGGGCCATATTGCTTCTGCTTTTATTTGCTTATTTGAACAAAATCTTGTCCTTTTACTGTTGCAGAACTATTGCACAGCCAAAACATTGTACATATCAGATTCTGACAAGAGAAAGCACTTCATGTTATCAGTAAAAATGTTTTATGGTAATAGTGACGACATCGGCGTCTTTCACAGTAAGCGGATCAAAGTAATCTCGAAACCTTCTAAGAAGAAACAGTCCTTGAAAAATGCAGACTGTGAGTATCAATGCATTTTTGCATTCAAGTAGTATGTCATTGTACAATACATGATATTGCGCACAATTTTTCATTATTTAAACTTAGAGCCCTGCATAATGGCTCACTTAGAAACAAGCTGGTTATTCCCAAGCTTACCATGCTTACAAGAGTAATTTGTCATCAGTCCTATAGTTTGGTAGGAAGACGGGAGAGGGAAGCTAAACTGGGATGTTTACATTCAGTGAGGTTGAAAAATTTCAATGGAGTCCACTATTTCCACCAGAGGGAAAATTATAAAGCTAGTATTTGAATTACATTTGCGCAGCACAACATTGAGCAAGATCTTTATCAGTTGGAGACATGCTGCTTTAATGCACCACGTATCTGGCTTGGATTTGCATGCATTTGAGGAATTTTTAGCTTAGCTTAGTTGGCTGAGAGAATAGGAACTGAGGGAGGTGATTGTCCATAGGATGGCAATGTCCAAAGAGTCTAATTGACTTGTTCTTGAGTACCTTGGTGACCAGCTATGAAATACTTAGTTCATTCTTGAACGATTTCTTTATATTTTTTTCAGGAGCAAATCATTTTCCAAACCATATACATGCTTGAAGTGTTCAGGTCAGGCAACATCTGTGAGGGCAATGAATGGTTGTTGTCCTGAAACAATAACTTTGTTTCTCTCTGCAGTGACTGCCTGATCAGCTGAGCATTTCTGGGATTCTTTGGCTCATTTCACATTTCAAGCAATTTGCATTACTTTGTGATTGTGAATCTTTTTCTGTTCTTTCCTGATGAAATTATTAATTCCTTACTGTGTTATGGTTTTATAGACTTAATTTATTGCCTGGTGCCTTCCATCCAAGTTGACCATTGTTCATTTTGAGCCTTAACAGTAAATAGTTCCATTGTGGGTGCCTAACTACTGAGCCAAAACCTGTCCTCCTGAAGTTCTGATCTTTTATTTTCGACAGAATTTCCTGCATCGAAACTGTTAATAGGAACAATAATTGGTTTCTTCTAAATTATTGGCACCAAGTCCAATTAAGACTTTCCACATCAAGCGGATGTTCACCTGCACATCTGCCAATGTGGTATACTGCATCCGCTGTACCCGGTGTGGCTTCCTCTACATCGGGGAAACCAAGCGGAGACTCGGGGACCGCTTTGCAGAACACTTACGCTCGGTTCGCAACAAACAACTGCACCTCCCGGTCGCGAACCATTTCAACTCCCCCTCCCATTCCTCAGACGACATGTCCATCCTGGGCCTCCTGCAGTGCCACAACGATGCCACCCGAAGGTTGCAGGAACAGCAACTCATATTCCGCTTGGGAACCCTGCAGCCCAATGGTATCAATGTGGATTTCACAAGTTTCAAAATCTCCCCTCCCCCCACCGCATCCCAAAACCAGTCCAACTCGTCCCTGCCTCCCTAACCTGTTCTTCCTCCCACCTATCCCCTCCTCCCACCTCAAGCCGCACCTCCATCTCCTACCGACCAACCTCATCCCGCCCCCTTGACCTGTCCGTCCTCCCTGGACTGACCTATCCCCTTCCTAACTCCCTACCTACACTCACCTTTCCTGGCCCCATCCCCGCCTCTTCGACCTGTTTGTTTCCTCTCCACCTATCCTCTCCTCTATCCCTCTTCTATCCGCCTCCCACTCTCTCCCTATTTATTTCAAAACCCCCTTCCCCTCCCCCTTTTCTGATGAAGGGTCGAGGCCCGAAACGTCAGCCTCTCTGCTCCTATGATGCTGCTTGGCCTGCTGTGTTCATCCAGCCCTGCACCTTGTTGTCTCCAATTAAGATGCTTGCATTTGCAACCTTTTGAGATCAGCTAATTTGGTGTAGGCATAGGATCAAATCTGGATCCTTCCTGGTCTTGGGATCAGCTAATCATTGAATAATCGTGGAGGAGGTGAATATTTTGTTTCAAGTTGTGGGAACAATTGAAAAATTGTGGATCAAGGGTATAGTCTTTGAGTTTGATATTTTAAAAAAGGATTAAGTCATTGAACTAGTAAGGAACAGGTAATGAAAAGAAAATAAAACAATGAACAAATTAGGAAGAGAAACAGTAAAAAGCAAAGGAAAAAAGGGAAATCAAATCTGATGTTTATTTTGGTTGAAATAAAGGTAGCCACTTTCCTCTATACTGTATGTAATCATCTCATTAAATGCCTACAGCCTAAAGCACTTGTAGAAGAAATTGAGAAAAAGTTGAGTTGAAACCTCAGTTATGGACAGTGTAGATTATAGCATAAGATTACAAAAACATATTAAGTGTCAAAACTGGGATAGAGTTCAGTGTGAGATTATCCATTTTGGACTGTAAAAGGATAGATTCTATGAAATGAAATTATAGTGAATGTCAAAGGAGACTTAGGTATTCAGGTGCGTAGGTCTTTAAAATGTCTCAAACAGGAACAAAAAAAATCAAGAAAGCAAATGGAATGCTAGCCTTGATATTTAGAGGACTGGAGTATAACGATGCAGAAGTGATGCTGCAGTTATACAAAACCCTGGTTAGACCCCATTTGGAGTACTGAGAGGAGATCTGGGCACCACACCTTAGGATATATTGACCTTGGAGGAATTAAAATGTGAATTTACAAGAACGATACCTGGATTTCAGGAGTTACAAGGAGAGATTCCGCAAATTAGGCATGTTTTCTGTAGAATTTGGGCAGCTAAGTCATGAACTGATGGAATTCTTCAAGGCATTAACAGGAAGAGACAAGGTAAACAAAGGTAACTGTTTCCACTGGTTGATTCTGAAACTAGGGTCATAGTCTAACAATTAGGACCAGATCATTCAGGAGCAATGTCAGGAAGCACTTTTACACACAGTGGTTGGTATTTGGAATGCTTTTCAACAAATGTCAGTGGATGTTGGATCAGTTATTAATTTTTTAAATGAGAGAATTTTTAGTTAAGCAAACTCATTCAGAGTTATGGGCCAAAGGCAGGTACATGTAGCTAGACCATTGATCAGCCATAAATGGTGAAACAGGCTCAAGTGGCTTAATGTTGTACTCCTGTGACTATGTTTAATGAGATACCACCTCTTATCCATTATCTCTGCATTTTGTTGTGATATCCTCCAATTGCTTATAATTTTTCTTTTATCTTTAGTATGTATTGCATCAGGAACAAAGGTGGCATTATTTAACCGACTTCGTTCACAGACTGTCAGCACACGTTATCTGCACGTAGAAGGAGGAAACTTCCATGCCAGTTCACAACAGTGGGGAGCTTTTTACATCCATTTATGTACGTAACAACAATTAACCTATCTTGGTGTGTTTTGCTTGAAATCATTTTAATATTAAATGTTGCTTAAGACAAAGCCATCATCCTGCAAAGACATGTCCCCAGTGCATTTATAAAATTTAATTACAAGAGAAAAACAACTTTGGAGCATTGGGTCGCCTATTAGAATGTCTACGCCTATTCATTGTTTTCTCCGATGGCAGCGTCATCTGAAAAATTTCAAGACCAGATGAGAGTTTTAGATTGGGAGCTTTCCCTGGTTCTGTCACTGAGATGCTGTCATAGGCAAGAAAATTATATCCAGCTTTGGAGCATTATGTATGAAAAAAGGCAGTTTAAAATGTTTGATTTAAAAATTGTAAATGTGCCCTTCAAATATCAGTTAATGAGACATCAACTGATACACATTTTTACTAACATTTATTTTAAGTTGTGTTTTGAATTATTGGTCAATAACATGAGTTTCATATTTCTGAAGTTAATAATTAACTTCTATTTCTGTAGCTGTAGTGATTCCCTTTAAAATACTTTGTGGGTGTTCCTTCTGCAACCTAATGTTTGTTTGTTCTGGTTCACTTGGCTAAGTTGAAAATGGTATTGTGCTTCAAGGCCTATTTGAAATTTTTAGATTTGGAGATTTTTTTAAGCTTACTGGAAATGCCCATAGCTCAGAGGCAGCGGTTTTTGTTTTAGTTGTACTTGTTTTAGGCAGTTATGTGAAGTCCTTGCATGTATACAGCAGCGCTGCTGAGTAAAGGAGAATATGGTGATGCTGGATTGCCTCAGAGTTAGGAGTTAATTTTGATCCAAAACCAGAAATGTTGGGCTAAAACCTTGAAATGGTTAATTGAAGCTGAGTTAGCTTAAGCTCAGGTATCTGGAGCTATCAGTGTTTCCAGTCTTGGAGATAAATTCACAGTTATCTTAAACCACTTAAGATTTTAAAGAAAGGGATTCTAGTGTGAATTCTGACCAAAGGCTGGTGTTGTGTGCAGCAGTGGGGATGTTTTCTTTGTGACTTTTAAAGAAGTGTTTTGGGATTAATGGGATTATACTTTGCTGTGTGTTTAAAATTCTTTGAATTTGTATTATAAACAAATAGATTTATTCTATTTCACATTTATTTCTTTATCTTAATAAACTATTTTTTCCAAGCAAAATCTGCAACATTGCATACTTCTGCCTCAGTGAGAGGTCACCTCATTAAAACCAAAACGCACAACACTATGATCTATCAAGTCCAATTTTAAGTCTGGGATCTGATTTGTCCAATAATAATGTCAGCTGGGATCATAACATGAGCCATATGGGCCTATCGTTCTCAGCTTTGCTTGCTGCTCTCTGCTACATCAGCAGATGTTGGCCAGAACAATTGAAGTACAATCGTTTTTGGCTTCAGCTTAACACTTATATCAACAATAATTTCCACTCCTAATTGTTGCTGAGTGAGCCCAGTTCCCTCCCTTTACTAGAAAATGCTAGTATGAATATATGGTGAGCACAATTTAAGGCTTTATTGTCCTGCTTTTAACAGTACAACAGCCTGCAGACATTCTTAATGTTGCTTCAAAATGAAGAATGAACACTTGAGTGACGTACCATATTGCGGCTGTTGCATATTGGCCTTCATCCTAACAAGAATCGCTGTCTTTGAGCACTGTGGCAATTTAGTTGTAATTGTGGTTGACATCATTTTGCAAGGCAAATGAATATTTGGTTACTGTAAAGAGTGCACTAAGAAGGATCTCCGTGAATATTGTATGAAGGCCTTCATTTATTAATTATCAATCACGAAAGTGCCATCGTTTTGTTAATTTCTAATAGCTTTTCTTTGTATCAGAATGGTTACAAACACCTTAATCAAATTTGTAATTACTTGAATGTCTTTGCGCAAAAAAATCAATTGTTGGGCACTAAAGGTAATATTTAAATACAAATCAATTGGAGTGACAGTAATATAAAATTAGCCTAATATACTGGGTCCTGGATGCACAGTCGGTAAATGTCACCAACATTGAAGTTGGGTGAGCAAGTTTTACTTTTAATTCATTTTTATTTGTTACACTGGTAATCTCAACGTTTGAATTGATTTTAATTTTATAAACTTAAAAATGATCTTCTAATTTCATTGACATTATTTTTGCTGTTTTTATAATTACATTGACTTAAAAACAGGAATGAGAATGAAGGATATATTTCTGTAAAATCTGAGCTTTTTACTTGAAATAGTATGATGAAATTGCCAAAGTAGTTGACTTGATGAAACTTCAATAGCATGTTTGTCCATGGTATTCTCATTTGTTTTTTGAAATATGTAGAATCCCTTTTGCACATACTTAATGTATCAAGATCTTGAATAAAAAGACATGTGTGCTGACAGGTACTAGCTGGATTATTGATAACAGTGGAAGTCTGATGTATTGGTGTCCAAGAAGTGAAACTGCATTTGTTGGCATACTGGGTACAGATAAAACACTTGACAGACAAATAGCATTTAAATTTACCTAACCTCTTGCCACATTGATGCATGATACTGCTACAGACTACCTCAGATTTATATTTAACTTAAGTTTAGTTATTTGAAATATTTGCTTTGCAGAAAGAGACTTTAGCTATTTCACTGAGCGCATCCTTCGAGAATATCCTGACTCCATTGATCACTAGGGAAAAGGATGGTACCATCCGTGAAATGAGACTAGGTAAATAATAGTCTGAAGTTATTTTTATCATAAAATGAGCACTAAAACAAAATATTGCAGTTGGACAGCCACTTTGGTAGCAGGATAATTGATGTAACAACAACATATAATTACTGGTTAATTCATGCTACAGTGTATCCAATTTTGCTTCAAAAGCAACCATAATCATTGCAGTACAAATATGGGGTAACTCATTGTAATTTGAAAATAATTGAGACAAATTTTGTGTATTTCTATTTGCCCCTTTACCTGTACAATTAAGAGTTTACCATATATGTCAGACAATAATTGTGGAAGATGTCGGTGACTGCATCCACTGTTTCCACCGCCGCCACCTTTTATATCTTAGCCCTGGTGGTTTATCCACTTTCAGTCCCATTAGTTTCTCCAGCACTTTTATAATGTTTATTTCCTTCTATTCCTCCTTTCTAAAGGGCACTTGCTGTCCCAGCATTCTGGGATGTTTTTTTGTGTCATCATCAGAGCAAATGTAATTGTCTAAATGCTCAACCAATTTTATTTTTGTTATCCATTGTGAATACACCTGTTTTAGACTGTAAGGGTCCTGCATTTGTCTTCACTAATCTTTCTTTTTACTCAATTATAGCCGTTCTTACAGTCTTTTAGGTTCTTGGCAAATTTACTGTCATACAATATTAATACCTGCTTAATCAAACCTGTGATCCTCGCTGGATTTTAAATTACACACAGTATTCAGGCTTGTTAATTGCTCTAGTAACTTTAAATGATTCCTCTTTAAATCTAAAGTTACGCTCAGTGCTTCTGTTAACCATGGTTCGGCCAGTTTTCCAGATGTGTTCTTGTATCTTAGCTCCAGCCAACCCAGTTCCAGTCTTAAATTTCCTGCCCAATATCCTTTCTCTTATTGCATTGAACTCATCTTTTACAGACCATGCCGCATTTTCCTTTTGGCTATTCTTCCAAAAGATAAAATATTTTTGGATGTTAAGTTCCCAATTATGGTGATTCTACAGTCATGTCTCCATTATCACAATCCTGTCGTACCCATGTGCAGCTATATGTGCTGTTAATTTGTCTATCTATTGCAAATTCTTTGTGCATTCAGATGCAACAGAACAGCAGGCTGTTATTTAAATAGCGATAGATCGGGCAAAGTTGCTTTACAAGTGGACATGGATGTTCTTGTACACTGGTCATTGAAAATAAGCATGCAGTTGCAGCAAACAGTTAGGAAAGCAAATGGTATGTCTGCCTTCATTGCACGGAGATTGAAGCATTGCATCAGGGAAGTTTTACTGTATAGGGCCTTGGTGAACCACACCTGGAGTATTGTATGCAGTTTTGGTCTCCTTACCAAATAGAGGATAAGCTTGTCATAGAGGGAGTGCAACAGAAGTTCACTCGGCTGATTCCAGGAGTGGCAGATTTATTGTATGAAGAGAGATTGGGTTGAGTGTGCAAGCATTCAGTAAAATTTAGAAGAGGGGAGATCTCATCGAATCATGCAAAATTCTGATGGCTGGAAAAACTAGATACAGGGATAATGTTTCCCCTTGCCACGGAGTTCAGAAGAAAGGGTCACAATCTTAGGATATGTGCTTGGCTAATTTGGTTTGAGATGAGACATTTCTTCACTCGGAGGGTGGTAGACTTGTCAAAATCTCAACCACAGAAGGTAGTGGAAGCCAAGTCACTGAATATATTTGAAAAGTAGATTTCTAAACGCCAAAGATGTCAGAGCGTTGGGAGTAAAATGTGAGAATGACACTCGGAGGACATCAGTCATGATCATGTCGAATGATGGAGTGAGCTTGATGTCTGAATAGCCTACTAGGCCTGCACCTATTTAGTTGTCTTTCAAAAAAAAAGCTAAAATAAGTGCACAATCACTGACGTAGATTTCTTTTTGGGAGGTTTAATCATAATAGAAGACACAAGACAAAGGGACTATTTTCAGGTTATGCGCTTTGGTCGGAAGAATAGAGGAGCTGAATATTATTTAAATTTAGAAAGCTGCAGCACACTGATTTCGGAGTCTTAGTGCATAAATCACAAAAAGCTAGCATCCAAGTTCAAGTGACAAAGGAGGCAAATATTGCAAAGGGAATGCATATACAAATAGAGATTTTGCTAAAGCTATACAAGGCACTAGCCAAATCCCAGCTGAAATACTTTGAACTGATTTGGGACTGTTATCTGAGGAAGGTATGTTAGCATCATAGACAACTTAGAGAATGTTCACTCGGCTGATCCTGAGTATAGAAGGACTCTTGGGAGAAGTTGAGTCGGTTGTAACATTGGAGTTTAAAAGAATGAGAGGAGATCTTATTGAACTATACTAGATTCTAAGGGGGTTTAACAGACTAGAATGCGGCAATGTTGTGTCCCTTTGTGGGAGAGTCTGGGGCCATAGGACGTAATCTCAGTGTAAGAGATTGGGGTATAAGCCTGTTTAACGGTTACTTGGAAATTAGGCAATGTATTTAATATTCTTTTTTACTTAATAGGAACAGATAAAAACTAAGAGTCGGTCATTTGGAGGATTTAGAGCAGGCCGTTGTTTGTTTTTTTTTCTTTATTCATTCACGGGATGAGGGCATCGCTGGCCAGGCAGCATTTATTGCCCATCCCTAATTCCCCAGAGGGCAGTTAAGAGCAACCACTTAGTTTAAGACTAAGATGAGAAATTTCTTCATGCAGAATGTGGTGAGCCTGTGAAATTCTTTACTACAAAACAGTTGAGGTCAAAACATTGAATGTTTTCAAGAAGTTAGACATAGTTATTAGACCTAAAGGGATCAAGGGGTTTGGGGAGAAAGTTGGGACAGGATAATGAGTTAGATGATCAGTCCTGATCCTATTGAATGGTAGACCAGGCCCGGTACCTGAAGGAGGAGAAAGGCAGTCCTATTTTCTATGTTTCTGTGTTTGATCCTTGCCAATCTTTCTTTTGATTTTCCTCTGCTTTATGGTAATTTGTGAGCTATGTTGTATATAACATCTTGGATCTTAAGATCTGTAACATCTTAAGTTTCTGAAGTGGAATGAATAGAACAGAAATTTATTGCCAAGTGTACTTCTACCACAGTGCCTATATCAATGACAGAAGTCATACATAAGAATGTAAAAAAAGTAAAATTGAGATGAAGTTCATCACAGTTCAGTTAATGGCTCGTGGGCTCAGGAAAAGCAGATTTAAGGAACCATGGGATACCCTGAAGACACAGCCAGGATGAGAGCGCCATGCCAGGCTACTGGCAATACCTGGACACTGAAGATGAAGAAGACCTCCACAAGGGGATGAGACTTCCACACCCGGCTGAGACTGCCTTTCTCCTCCTTCAGGTACCTGGGCCTCGCTGTGTACCTAGAGCCCTGGTCTAGCCTGTGAGTCGAGGCCAGAGGACTCAGCCTGGGACATGTTCCTCACTTGCCAGGACACCTCAGGCTGGAGCTATGTCTGGCTCATCCTGGCATTGTTGCTGCTGTTGGAGGCCGCCTCCTTCACCCAGCACTCTCCAGGCTTAAAAGAAATCAAAGAGAAAAGAAAAAGAGCAAAAGTGAAAAGCGAAGAAAGAGAAAGAAAGCCGAGGGGAATGGACGAGTCTCAGGCTCAGACCCCTTATCCACCACCATCTTGAAAGGTTGAGGCACAATTGTTAATCATGGGCCTTTTTTAAAACAACTTTGCATGATTTTTAGATTTCATGTTTTTCGCCAGGTTTTGTTTGGAAAAGATGATCACTGGACCAAGTAGTTTGGCAAAATAAAAATACCAAATTTTGGAAGTTCTCTGCTGATATATTTGAGAGAATAAGAATTAACGCTGCAGATCAGTTTGTTCCCCAAATTATGGTGTTTTGCAGGTATCTTTGCTATCCCAACCCTTCAGTTTTGCATAACTTCCTCGTTTGTCCTTCCTTCCTTTCTTCTGTTCCTCGTGCCTGAGCCCTTGTCTGAACCTGCTCCATCCACTGCCCTCCCTGGCCCACCACATAACCATATGGATTAGATGCATGCTAACATGAGACAGTTACAGATGGCGTCAGTGTATGGTGCAAAAGTGCAGGTGGAATCAGGCTTAACCATACATTAGAAGTATTTGGTGTGAAGGGCATGGAACACATTGCAGGTTTATCTATGTTTCTGCTAAAATGTGATTATGCAAATTGTCCTTTGGAAATGGGTTGAGGGAAAGGCTTGAGCAATCATAAGAGAAACTGCAGCATGTGGCAGGTTAGACAATGACCTTTATTTCAGGCCTAGGTTCAAGTCTAAGTTAGATTAATTGAATGTAGCTCTCCTGCTACTACTAAGGTCCTAGACCAGGGATCAAGATAGAGTAGAAGGGAATTTTTCATTTGGTAGTAATACCCGACTCGGGCATGTTTGCTGACACTAAATGCCCAAGAAGAACAGATTTCAAAGCATTGCAAATTAGTGAAAAGATCTTATTTTAATTTACCCTGGAGTTTGGGATCCTGTGTTCCTCTGTAGCAATTCTCTGGCCAATCAGAGTTGACTTGCTGTTCTCTGCACCCTTTCCCCATGTAGTATAAATTGTTGTGATTATTTGAAATTTGGCATTCTAGTATTTATTTTGATGAGTACAAGACAAAAGTCTTGGTAACATGTCTCTTTTCAGAAATATTCCATGTAAATATTTAATTAGGGGAGAAAAATAAAGCAATGGGGAAAAACTGGCTTGAACACCCATCACAACGAGGAGCCAGTTGACTCAGTAGCCCATGGTTTTGTGTATAATGTGCATTCTAATTTGCCTTTGCTTTTTGTGAAAACTGGTTGTAAATTTCAGTGCTAGCTCTAATCAACACAAACTATAAACACCATTTTGCTTGTTATTGCTTACTCTGTTCTGAATCTACAATTTGTTAATTTTTAATACTTGATCTCCTAATATTTTCAATCCTATGACCTTTTGGAACTAATTCAATCACAGTTCTGTCTGAAATTGCACTGATCAGTTTCATCACAAAAACATCGGAAGTGGCAAGTTTCTCCAAGGATTGACCATACCTTATGTCTAGTTCGCGTGATCATCTTCAAACTTACCCCATTGGGTGTGTAAAGGAAAGTACTTGTGATCAGAAGTATTAGGTGTCTTTGTTCTCCTGTGGATCTGCTCCTGCAATGTAACATTAGCCCTAAAACATGTCTGTCTTATTGAGCAAAGTTGCAGATTAGTGTAATACATATGATTGTGAAAGATACTCATTACAAGCAAAGTGCAATTATGTGCTTTTAGTTCTTGGCATGAAGAGTATAAACGGTTTGTTGTTCTTCAGTAGCTATGTACATGCAGCACACGTATTTTTTGTATGGTGGCAACTGAGTATGAAACGAATTTGTAGTCCAAATATGTAAGGTAAATATATTTATTATCTACAGTGGATGATGAAGAATCGGAGGGAGAAGAATTCACAGTGCGCGATGGATACATTCATTATGGTCAGACAGTGAAGCTGGTGTGTTCTGTTACTGGGATGGCACTCCCCAGACTGGTACAGTGGCTTTCTTTTTTGCATATGTTTTTAATAGTTTAGTGTTCAAACCTAAATATTTGGCACTTTATCAAAGGCAGTGAAACGTGTTGGACAGTACAGTTGTATGGCTGTATGCAGCACTTTGGCAACTTGTTCAAGGTCACTTTTTTTCATCTGATTCTTGCCTCAGTGTATTGTTTGACCCAAGGGGATAAAATTGACTTTTTTAAAATAGTTGTGAGCCTCCAAAAAATCCAGGGAACGTCATAAACACGGTTTGACCATCTAGGACTGAGATGAAGAAAACTTGTTCAATCAGAGGGTGGCGATTCTTTGGAGCTCTGCCCCCCAGAGGGCTGTGAATGTTCAATATTAAACATCGGGCCAGTAATTGATAGATTTCTGGGACTAATTACATCAAGATGTGGCAGTAGCATAAAAGTGTCATTAAGGTAAACAATTAGGCACGATCTGGTCAATGGTGGAGCAAGCTTGTTTGGCCTATTGCTGTTTCTGCAGTGACCGTGGAAATATGTGACTTCCAATTACGGCATAGTTGGATAGATGCATGCTTAAATTTAACTTGTTTTTGTAGGAGTTTTCCTTGAATGCTCGTGAATTTGGCTTTCAGTGCAGAGAGTGTAGCAGAAACATTGTAGAGAATCTTTAGTTTTATCATTTATTACTGATATATAATCCACAACTCATTGCAGTGTGGGAGTGTGGTGACAGCAATTTGTTGTCAAACATTAGTTGCTGAATTCTGTGGAAGGCTGAGCTGGTGCAACTAATCCAGTATTGGGATTCTCAACAAAAGCAGCTGTTTGAGAAAAGTTGCTTCCAGGATATTGGAAGCATTCAATGGTTTTGAAAGTCTGTTTTAACATTTAGGGAATAGAATATTTAGGTAACCAGATGAGGGTTCATATGAGATAACAAGGTGTAGAGCTGGCTGAACACAGCAGGCCAAGCAGCATCAGAGGAGCAGGAAAGCCGACGTTTCGGGCCTAGACCCTTCTTCAGAA